AGAAAGAAATGTACGTTTATTTGTGGAGATATCAAGATAGTTTGGAAACCAATGGACTGACTGCACATCTTTTAGGACAAAAATGGATTTGAAACATACAGGAGCATTCAGAGTCTATCCCTGACACCAATAATCAGATGAAAGGTACTTGCCCAGGCCATAGGGAGGCATTTTGCTACCTGAGACAACAGGAGGACCCACCAACACCATTATCACTGACACAATACACTGATTCAATCCAGATGATAGGCGAGCATCACAGTGCCCTATAAGATGAATGCCTGCACAATTCTGCCCCCTCTGTGCCCACATCAATTGTTTTCAGCACCTTTGGTTCCAGTTGCAATGGAACCCTACAGCGGGAAGGCAAAGTCATGTGTGCTAGGGGGTGAAGTCATACACGCGAGGGGCAGAGCCCCCCCCCAACTGGGGCTGAAAATTAGATGGAATGTTGGTTAGCATCCTTCACCACATCTAAAAGCAGAAGGATCGTTTCAGGGAACTCTCACTTAGGATTGTGGAGGTGCAGTTTTGGACCTTGATCTGCTTGCAGAGTCGTAATTAGGACATGGAGCCACAAATCTATGGAGATTCCTTGACCGCAACATCATCAAAATAACAGCCTATCATAGTTAGGCATCCTTCAGTCTCGAAAGACTATGGTAACGTGCTTTGTATGGGGGACTTGGTGCAGCATCTAGTGTGGCTGAGGAGGCCAATTTGAGACTGACAATCCCTTCCACACTGAAGACAAGTCCAATCTGTCCCCTGCCCAGCTTTTCATAGAAGCCTGGAAAAAGTAGCATTCTGGCTCATGTAGAGTGTCTCTATGGGGGCTGGAACCTTCAGACCTGCTGGTGGATGTGTGTGGCAACGTGATTATGGAGGGGGTGGGCTAGGACGTCCCCCAAATGTGTTGCAAACCTCTCATATCTGGCATAAATGTCAGCTACAGAGAAAATCTATAGCTGTAAATAAAGGACTAGAAGAGCTATATCTGCCTATTTCAGATAATGGAAGTCAGGGCTGGCACCAGCAGTAAGAGAGCTTCAACCCCCTGCTGTCAATGCACCCTGCACACCCACACAGTGGGACCTACCTGCCAATGCCCCCAACACCATTGCAATTATCTTCTGCTCCACTTGGGGCTCAGGTGGTACTGTAGCTGTCAGTGTTTTCCCCCTTTACTCATTCAAATCTGCTAACTTGGCAGTATAAGTTGAGAGCTCTGTTTTTGCATGGGAGTTGAGCAGTGACGTGGCATTATTGGTAATGGTGGTGTATGTATTTGTGTGCCATCGTTTGTTGTAGTGCTATGGGGCGGTATATAAGTCCAATAAATAAATAAATAAATAAGTTGAGAGCTCTGTTTTTGCATGGGAGTTGAGCAGTGACGTGGCATTATTGGTAATGGTGGTGTATGTATTTGTGTGCCATCGTTTGTTACTCAAAATGCAATGTCTGAGATCAAGTGGGATTGAGTATCTGGTGGCAATCCAGCCATTAGACAGCAACTGGTGGTGGCAAGGCCAGTTTAAAGCAGCGGAGTTGATGTCACGCCAAATAGCTACCCAGTTGTGTTAGAGGCTGACATGAACCTTTCTGTGAGCATTTTGTGTTTACCTATTTTTAAATGAGTGTATAAATATATCTATACCACATCTTTCACCCGAAAATATTTCTGTTCTTTGCTGGATCACTAAGGGAATCGTTCTGCACTGACATATGAAGCAAGTAGACTGTGTCTACTTATGGAAGAATGTTGTTGTTCCCTAGAATAAAGTTTCCATTGGACTTGGATGCAGATTTAATAACTTTTAGATTTATTCCACCACTACAAAGCTGAATAGACATTAATAGACATAATGTACAATTACGACTTTGATAACAGTACTTGGAACAGAAAGTGTCTGCTTATCCAAATATATATATTTTTTTCTTGTCCAGATACCAAGTGTTGAAAAATAGATCAGAATATAAATGTATGATTGCATCTGTAATTATGTTTTTAACAATTACAGACTCCATTATCTTTGGCAAAATGTACATCATGAAAACCTGCCAAAGTATTTTTTTTTTAAAAAATTAAAGATCACATTGCAATTCTTGAAACATAAAGCAGTTTTTAAAAACAGCCTGACTGGGGGCACCTCAAAGACAGCTGTGAAAATCAGACTTAGTACCTTGTTAAAGATGTGGAAACTGGAAAAACAGAAGAGAGATCAAAAACACATTTGGTTTTTGCATCATGGAAAAATGATTTCACTCTGTTCTCTGGTGTGTGTGTGTGTGTTTTAAAACCTGTGCTTTGCTGGACAAGCCCGGCCGTTATATGAGTCATGTACCCATCTGAAAGGGCTCTGGACCCATGAACAACACTAAAGGACTGGAGCCTCAGTGAAAAATCAAAGGAGCTCAGTTTTAAATGAATCAACAGAAACTGATAGTTCTGCAGAGAGTGGAAAGGGAAGCTGAGAAAGTACTGTATGGAAAAATGACAGGCACATCTTACCAAGAGATGAGTCCATTTATTTATTTTGTGTCCATAGAGAAGTGTATATTTATGTGATTTCCAAAAGGCCAGCAGAATGCCACAGTTTTGGACACAGCTAGTCATAAAAGTCACTGATGAAACCTGTGTTTCATAGTATTTGTTTACCTCGCATCCTTGGCAACAGGTTGCCAACTTGTCTTCCTGCCTGGACACAATAGGCAAGATGATTCATGAAACAGTTAGCTTCCTCATTCAGAACACAAGTCTGCCTAAACACGATATAAACAAACCATTGCAAAGCCTATGTTTTGTTGTGCCTTGTTCAATGTATCAACTGGTATAGTATGTGTACCATATGAAACTCCTGAAACTCTTCGTTCATCTGATGAGACGAGTCATAGTACATGAAAGCTTATGTCATTATAAATAAATTGGTTTTTAAGTTACCAAAGAACACTTGCATTGTTGTTTTTTGTTGTTGGTGGAACTGACCAAATATGGCTGCTTCTTTGGAAATGGTTGTGGACTATGGTTGCTCCTCATTCCTGTGTTAAAAAAATAGCTTAATGGGAGTTGCAGCCCCATACTTTACTCACCTCTGTTCTAATTAACTATTGAGTGCTTTTCTCATTCATCAGCACAGAGCCCCTATGGTGAGACATTTTAAGATTAGTTCCATTCTCCAGACACACCCAGCTCCACACAAAATGGTTCACACATTGGTCAGTATTTCAGTATTTTGATGGAGAGGGTCTTCTCGGTTGTAAAGACAACAGAAACTACAAGTACAGTACTACATGTGTAAGCAGGTTCTAGTCCATGGCACAAGCCATTAGTCCTCAGCTCTGTGGCTCATATGGGCTCCTAAGCCAGATGTTATGAAACAGAGGACAACACTGGTCCTAGTGGCTATCAATGGGCAAATAATCTAGGCTCTTACAAAAAGCAAAAACCAGACCTTGCCCAAGGCATTCAGCACCCATTCTAGATCTCTTCCTCAGCTAAAAAGCAACTGACAGGACATAATAAGCTCTCCTCACTGCTTTCTAAAGGGAAATATGCAAACACACAATAATGTAATATGTAGCTATGTTGGTTCTAATTTATACATTGCTGTCCACCATTTACTTCTCTTGAGAAAAATAAAGCAGCAGACTTTGGGACCCACTGAGTGGAATTAGCTTAAAGGAAAGAAAACTGGTGAAGTGGTTTCCCAGTCAAAATAAAAAACCAAAAAACCAAATGTGTATGTGAAAGGGAGGTTGGAAGTGAGATCTTGAGCAGTGGTGCAGTAAAACTAGGATTCATAAGATTGTAGCACTAGCCTTTATCCTTAGCAGGAATGACATTATTTGCCTTTTCCCCTCAGATGTCCTTGTTCCCTCTGAGATTCACTAGTTGGGTGAGGGGTGCATGTGAACTATACCAGTTATTATTTAATTCATTTTGTCCTATCTTGATCTTGAATGGGCAGTTGATATTTATTTGCTTTACAAATGACCTGCTTTGTGTATTTGTTTATTTGCTTTCATTTCTGTGTTGCCTTTCACCTGATGCAGGAACCCAAGGTGACTCACAGTTGTTGTTTTTTTTAAAAAAGAGACACCTGAAAATACAGTGACTGACATCCTGTTAGTGGAGCTGGAGCTGTTTTGAGGCAATAAAAAGCTTTGTAGAGCCCATCTAACTAGGTTTTGGGGATCCCTAGGGATCCCCTTCATCCTGGACTATCCTTCAGAAGCCACAGAACAGAAAGGGGAAGTATTTAAAGTCAGAAAATTGCCAGTGTGAATCTATACAATGCTATACCTGTTTTGATTTTCTTTTGTGTAGACTGTCATGAGTTCCTCATGACACTCCATCCTTCCAAATTTACTGCTACACCACTTATCTGGAGAATGTGCCTTCATTTCCTGATATTTAGCATCCCACTGTATGGCATCTTAAGTGGCCACCCAAACCCAGAAGCTGCTGCAGGGAGGAGGAAATGAAAACTATAAGCCTTACTAAGAAAATATTCATTCTTGACTACAAGTCCCGGCATCCCCTAGATTGAATGGGGATTTAACCATTGGCCAAGCTGCTTGGGGAATTATAACTGTTGTAATCCAAAAATGTAACTATTCTAAGATCTGTTCAGAATATGACCCTGACTTTTATTATCAGTGAGGTAAAATAACAGGAAGTACTTGACGAGACAAGGTGAAAGGTACAGTTGAATGTGAAAGCTGTTGTTTAGTTTGATTAAGAGAAATAAAAAGTATTGAAAAAAAAGTTTGTCCTGAAGATATTACTCTTCTGCACAGCTCAGTGTTGGATGGATTGATTTCATTTCTCCCTTTCTTTCACTCCAGACAGATTTTCAACCTGTTATTTTTGCAGTTACATTTCAAAGCCAAGTAGAAATGTGTGACACAACTATCTGACTGTCCGCACAAGCTTTGGATAAAAGATCAGAAAATGCACATGGTAGATGTCAACCAAGGATTTGCTTTTATGTTTACAGGTACGAAGATGGATCAAGAGCCCGATGGTGAGCATGGAAAAACATCAGACAACCAGCCTCAAATACCCGGGGTCCACTGTGATGCATATACCTCAAGGAGAGCCGGACATTGAGGCTCCATTATGCCAGATGTGCTTCAGTGATCACACTTTTCAAAGAGGAATCGTCCCACAGGACACTGAGTCCTGTTCCTGGGAAGGCCACAGAAGCTGTAATGTAAGCAAGTCTCTCCCTTGCCTGCTATTCATGCACAAATGTTGTTTATATACCACAACCATGGGCAAAAATAAGCTAACACAATAGGTTTCTATGGGAATTGGGCTGCAGGCGTTACATCTGAGGTCAAGATTTAAGCTATATCGCTATACGAGGCACCAGCCCTACTATCAGGCAGGATCAGGCACATTTGGAAGCCATGTGAGTCACATTGCTGCCTGCAGCACCCATGAGCTTTAGAACATGTTGAAAATCAAAATTGAGAATGCCTGGATGTTGCTCCGGGGGGGGGGGATCAAAGCTATTTTTTAACTGATGGAACAAGAGAGGCTCCATGGAGTGCTGGAAGTTACCCAAAAAAAGTCTTCGGAGTCACGTGTGGCCCATAGACAATATCTTGCCCATGTCTACATTAGCCAGAGGAAGGTAACTGCCTCAGGGGGCAGATGCATGGTCAGCAGGAGCAACCTCACATCTATCCCACTGGACTATTCCCCTTTCCCCTGTGTTAGAGGACAGATCTATTTATACTGCCCAGCAAGTGCTCAAGCCCAGACATATTGCTTGGAGGTTTGTTTGTTTTTAAAGAAGATCACTATCAAAATGACAACTCGGAAGAATAAATGCCTAGGACCCAATGCTATTGAATTCAATGCTCTTGGAATACATAGGATTACACTGTAAGTGTAACAAAGTAAACATGAGATCTATTTTAACAAAATGCCAACAAATCAAACCGTATGCAATTATATATTCTAAGGGTCCTTAATATAGTAGGCTAAGCCCCTTTTCCAAAATCTATCTGCTTCTGTATTATGGGTTTTGGAATACAGTCACATCCATGGTCTGCCAACAACAAAATTCACATTGTAAAAGACTTCAAGTCCAGCTGGACTGACAAATACCAAGATTTTGTTGTGAGGCTGGGGGCAGGATGGGGTTGCTTTCTGACAATAGCAATGATTAAGTCAAAGAATAAGTAAGAAATTAATAAAACTGTTGCTTATAATAAACTCTGATCGTTCCACAGTAACTAGGCTTTGTTTATGAGTCCTCCTAACAGAAACGTTTAACAAAATATTTCTTTTAAAAAGATGCTTCTTTAAACGACTATGCCAGCTGCAAATCATAGGCATTCCTGTGTAAACTGTACAAAGAGGCCCCAGTGACTGATTTTCATTAGGTTTGCACATTCATATGGAAAAGATTTAGCTGAATGTGATTGTCTCCTCAGCCCTCTTTCCCTCTGGCTAACTGCAGCAAAGAGATGTTTAGTCAGCCAAGGGAGGTACAAAGAATAAATGGCATTTTTTAAAATATTGTCACAGTTTGAAAGGGTCACTGAAGACAATTGTGTTCATGTGGCTATTTTTAAGAAGGCAGCTGTGGTAAAGAGAGAGCCTTGCCACTTCACAACTAGCATTCAGATATTAAGCCAGCCTTTTCAAACCTGGCATCACCTAGACATGCAAAGCAACAACATCCCTCAGCATGCTAACTGAAGATAACAGGGGATATAATCTGCTGCATCTGGAAGACACTGGATTTGGGGCTGTTGTGTTAAGGAGTGAAGCCTCCTTGTGTGACTTCACCCAGAGACATGAGAATGATTGCCCCACATTTCAGTCTTATATTTCTGGGATTTGTGTGCATGTGTGTGGACTCAGTAAAGCAACCTGATTGGTTTAGCTAGTCACATGGTCTTTTGCTGCCGAATCAGAATCTTGCAGGGAGGAAGCGGGGGATCTGATTGGATGGAAACCCATGGTGTGTCTACGAATAATGGTTGATTAGTTAGTTGGTTGGTTGGTTGGTCACGTTTTTATACCATCCATCTAGTGGCGTACCACTACTCTGGGTGGTTTACAGGCTTGGAACATAAACATTAAGAACCCATGACTCCCACAACCTAAAGTGATCTAAATACAGCCCCATGAAAAGCCCACAGTGGTGATGACAAACCCAAATAGAATCAAAACATAACATAAATAGCCACAATTACAAAGGGCGGTGATCCTGAAAAACTTATCTAAAAAGCTGTGTTTTTGTGTGCTTATAGAACATTGGGAGGAAAGGGACCTGGTGCACCTCCACCAGTAATGCATTCCACAGGAAGGCTGAGAGGGCCAAGTTCCTTGTCATAGACTCCAGGTCCTCCCTTGGAGTGGACACTTGCAGGATCAAACATGGGAGGTGCAGGCAGAATGGGCAAAAAACATCGCAGGGAGAAATGTTCCGATAGGTTAGCTGTTAAATTTTGGTGGCAAATTAGGACTTTTTGAAACTTTTTTCTGGGGACCACTAGAGAATACTGGAAAGCAGTAGGAACCGACAGGGCAGCATACAGACCATGGGCTGCATTTTGCTCATCCCACATCTACATATTTATGTCTCTGTATTCTTTTGCATATGAAGACAGACATGAAGGAGTTCGGGAGAGTGCCAATTGTTTAATCTGTTTTTAATTTGTTTTTAATGTTAGTGATTTGTTTGGCTGTCTTTTTGTTGTCGTTGTTGAAAGACAGGATATATGTGTACAGTGGGGTCTTGACTTAAGAATGGCTTGAGTTAAGAACATTTTGACTTAAGAACCGCTCTCATAGGAAAATATTGACTTGACTTAAGTACTTAGATTTGAGTTAAGAACTGAAAGAAAACCCACGTGGCAGGCAGGGAAAGTGCAATATTTGAACTTTCAGTTAACTGTTGGCCGGTGAAAAGGGTGCCAGTCTGCGTCCTCACTCCTCCCAGCGTTTAGAGAGTGGATTGGGAGACAGTCTTCAGACTGCCTGGTACTGTCCTGCCTGGCCTGTATTTTTCTTGCCTTCCCTGAACCTTTCTTGCCCTAAGAAAAACAGAAACAAAATATCCTCCTCTAGTGGTCGAAGGCGGAATAGCAGCTTCCCATTAGTTTCTATGGACGGAAAAGAGCAGATACGGATCAAATGGTTTTCAATGCATTCCTATGGGAAATGCAGATTTGACCTGAGAACGTTTTGACTTGAGAACCGCCTTCCAATACGGATTAAGTTCTCAAGTCAAGACCCCACTGTAATTAATAAACAAAGACCATTCCATTGGACAAATAAATAAAGAAAGTAACCAATCCTGCTCCGATGGCTGGAATATTCTCACAGCCTCCCTAGTCATGAGGACATGGCTCATTACCATGGCTCCCATACGGCTGTGTGTGTTTGTGAAGATGGGCTTAATGCCCCTAAGATTTGCTGTGCCAGCAAATTAGTTCTTATAATGAAAGGGTTATCAGTTGCTACAGTCCTGTCAAAACTGATAGGATGAGGTCATTCCCAGAACATAAAGTGATGGTAGACTAAGGATGGTCTTTTTCTATCAGAGATACTAATCTTCATTGCTCCCTGTGGCTGGTTGTATAAATTAGTATTTAAAGTCTGTTAAACACATATTAAGCTCTCGTGATGAGTTTGGTTGTGCCAGAAGGCCATATATAATTCTGAGTTAAATATATGAATGCAAGTGTTTACATAGATAGTATAATGGGAATCCAATATACTCATTCTGTGAATATCAACTTGGCCATCAATCACACTGATAGCTTTCTTAATTTCTAGCCTTTGCCCTGCAGAATACACCCATTAACTGGCCGCAGTGCACTTCTCCCCCCCCACCTCCTCCATGCATCGCCCACTCACCAGCTGCAATGTGCTTCCCTCCTCTGCCTTCTCTGTGCAATTGTCCACTCACTGGCAGTGCCACAGACTTCCCTGACCTGCTTCCGCATCTGAGTGGACAATTATGTGGAGAAAGCAGGGGAGGGAAGCACATTGCAGTGACAAGTGATAACGCAGCATGGAAGAGATGGGGGGAGGGAAACATGTGATGTTTGTGGAACATCTGTGTGGGCACCACACCAAACTGAGCCAAACCGTTGAATGGTGATTCATGCTTATCTCTAGCAGTATGGGTCCTGTTGGGCTGGGGGGGGGACCAATACAGCCCCACCCAACTCCAAGAACTTGCTTATTTCCATTCCATTGTAACCAATTTATAGACACATACCTCGTTGTCCTATACAGTGGGGTCTTGACTTGAGAACTTAATCCGTATTGGAAGGCGGTTCTCAAGTCAAAAAGTCTGTAAGTCAAGTCGTCTGTAAGTCAAGGGTCCACTGTACAGAGTCAGAGTATTAGTCCCACCACTGCAGTATTATTTGCTCTAGTTGGCAGTTACTCTTCCAGGTTTCAGGCAGGAAGTTCCCTCAGTCCTACCTCGTAATGTCAAGGGCTGAACCTGTGACCTTCTGCATGAAAAACATCTGCTCTACCCACTAAGCTACAGCTCCTTTCCTAGTTTTAGCATAAACTGCTGGATTAGGAGCATGGAAGGTATCCATGCAGATATACTGCTAATTAGGCTAAAAGGGATTGTGATGTTTCTTTAAATGGCCCTATGAAAATTTGATGGTTACTCTGTGTGAACATTACTAATAAATGATGTGCCACTGCTTCACACCACAGTAGATAGTTGCTCTCAGAACAAAGCCAATGACACATTATATAATAAAGGTAACTAACTGTTTTGAAAGAGCAAGCGAAACAGGTTTGAAGGTCAGTTTTGTTTTTAGCTGAATGTGCGTGTATTTTTCTGTCTCTTGGAACAGGCTGGGCAACTCTTGTATTCCTCTGTCCTGTAAATCTTTTTTAGGTGTAGTTAACTATCATGTTTGCTTGCTTTCTCACTCATCAAAGAAATATGATGGTGTTTTAAGAAATTTTAAGTGGTGGAGGAGGAAGAGGAGGTTGGGAAATTAGCCTCCTTATTTTTTCTCTTTGACTTGAAGTGAGTAGTTAGAGATGACCTAAAGACTTCAGTAATGATCTTCGGGGATTTTCTGAAGATTCTGAATTTATCTTTCCTTAGAAATTGCTCGTCCATTCTGAACCTTTTACTCAAAAGGCTCCAGCAGCCCAATCTTGTCTGTGTGTGTGTTTAGCAGGAAATGGCTAGGCTTTTTGACCACA